TGTCATCTGCATATTCTAAGTCGATAAGTGGATCTCCTGGTAGATCAATTCCTGAAAATTTAGTCGACGAGAGTGTTATTTCCAGCAACAGACCTATAATGAAGTTAAACAAAAATGGAGATAGTGGACAGACTTGACGGACACCACTTGAGGTTGTAAAATCATATGACAGTTCGCCATAAGCTCTCACTCGACTGGTAGTGTTCGAGTAAAGAGCCTTCACAAGGGTTATGTAGTTCTAAGGTACACCTTTCAATGACAGACACTGCCATAGAGCCTCTCGGTCTACAGAGTCGAGTGCTGCTTTTAGGTCAAGGAAAACTATCATTGTTTGACGCCGATAAGCATGCCTGTGTTCTAAAACCTGACGAATAGTGAATATGTGGTCGGTAAAGCCACAATCAGGTTTGAAGCCAGCCTGATTTTCTCTTGTTTGCAGTTCACGAGTATTAGTTAGGCGCCTGATAATTATTTAGGGTAGTATTTTAGATGCTATGTTAGTCAAACTAACCACTCTATGGTTATCACAGGATGAGTTTGAGCCATTCTTAGTGATTGCGACCGGTCAGATAGGATTACGTCCAGTTCCCACATTTTAACTGTAATATTAGTCAACCTAAACGCTAAAACTAAGCCATCATCCTTAAAGGCCTTTAAAGTTAATCCATCCGGACCATTTGCTCTTCCTCATTTTGGATTAGCTATAGCTTGTAGGACAGCTGACAAATGCACTTCATGTGAGTACTGATATCAGACAAATGTTGCTCATTCCCCCATTCTCTTTTTTCTGCTGATCGACTAGATTGTGAAGACCTTCACATCTCAGGGGAAGCACTGAATACAGTGGACAGCTTGTATGCAGCTAGACGATTTTAATTTCTCAGATCATCTGGTTCTTCTATTCTATACACATCAACAAATGCAGGTCAAGACAACGAGTTTAGCAAAAGCCTCTGAAGTAGTAGGCCACAGAATACACAAACAATAAAGCAAGATCTTGAAATACAACATGGAGAATATCAACGCAATCACACTCGATGGAGAAACTCTGGAAGAGATGGAATCTTCCACCCATTTGGACACCATCATCGATTAACAAGGAAGATCCAAGGTAGACTTAAAGACAAGCATTGGCAAAGCAAGGACGGCATTCCAACAATTGACCAACTTATCGAACTCAAAACAACTATCTGTCAGCAAATATCAAATTCAGAATCTTCAATACGAACGTAAAAACAGTTCCACTGTATAGAGCTGAAACTTGGAAAACTAGCAAAACCACCATCAAAGAAATACAAGTATTTCTAAATATTTGTCCACCCAAAATACCCAATGTCTGTTGACCAGATATCATCAACAACAGACTACTGTGGGAGAAAAGAACCAGTTTCCATCTGATTAGTAAATTAGGAAAATAAGTTGGAAGTGGATAGGATATGCATTGAGGAAATCGCCAAACTGCATCACGAGGCAAGCACTAATTTGTAATCCTGAATTTAAATGAAAAAATGGAAGGCCAAAGAATACACTGTGTTGAGAATTAGAGTCAGAAACCAAAAGGGTGAATAGTAATTGGAAACGAGTGGGAAGGATTGCCCAGGAAAGAGTTGGATGGAGATTACAGGTGGGCGGCAACAGGCGTAAGTAAGGTCTTATGTGGTGCTAGAGTTGTGAGGGCGATTAACAATTCCCAGTTGCCCATACTGTGAAATGGTACCTCTAGAGTACCTCAAAAGGAAATTTGGTTGAAGCTAGTGCTGGTGACCTGAGAGTGTGATCGTAATGCTCAAGAGATCACTGCCCGAGGCCAGTCACTCACGACCATGTCGTGCATAATTTTTGTGTTATCTTCGCACTTTCTGGGACCTTACCGCCGGAATTCGGAAATCAGTTGGATAAGGTGATGTGTACATTTTAAGTGTAGACTTTTTCTAACCTCATTCTTCCTTTGTGGGAAAGCAACATCTCTATTATACTGGTTGTCTAAGGGAAACATCTTACTACTGTAAAACCTCTGTACAGTCAGCAGTACAACTTCGCTCTCGGACCTTGAGTTTGCTACTTTTAGTCTTACCTATCTTCAACCGACCTGCCTAACATGGTAGGACTTTGAGGAACGGTTGTTGTAGCCAGTTTAGTCTGGTTGGTTCGTCACAATAAACAAGCTTGACCACTACGCGAAGGTAGCAGAAACCATCAGGCCTAGTGAGTGTATCCTGCCAGAACTCTAGAAATCCCTCTCGAAGCTAATCAGTTGTCAGCACACAATTATTGTATAGAAACGAACACGCAAAAATTTTTTAGTTTGTTATTTGTTTTCGTTGTGAAACGTCATGGGTTGATTAAAGTTGAAAACGAAGACAACTAAAGCCCAACTCATTGGTCTGAACTTTATTTGCTTGCCATGTAACCTAAACATCTGGGGTCAAGTCCCATTGCCGAGATTAGAAATTCATTCATTGGTTTAGTCTTATTGTATTTTGTAAATCGTTCAGACGGCCTATCAATAGGAGTTTAAATTCAACTTAGTATTATTTGTTTGAATCTTCCCATCGATTTGTTAGGACTGCAACTGGTCAGTCTCTAATTGGCATATGTGCATACTGTGCGTATTGCCTCGATATACCTTAATTCACAAGCATGGTTAGCAGAGATGGATAGTGGCTAGCAGTGGAATCCAGGACGCGCGTTTCGTCCTATTTGGGACTCGTCAGCTGGATGTACCTGCATCTCAGTGTTGATGTCCATTCTGGGACTCGAACCCAGTAACTCTCGCTTGAAACGCCATCGCGTTATCCACTCAGTGGCCGAGTGGATAACGCGATGGCGTTTGAAGCGAGGGTACTGGGTTCGAGTCCCAGAGTGAACATCAACGAGTCTGAGATGCAGGTACATCCAGCTGACGAGTCCCAAATATGAAGAAACGCGCGTCCTGGATTCCACTGCTAGCCACTATTCATCTCTGCTATCAATAGGAGGTTTATTTATCGATTGGTAATTCATTAATCATCTTAATCATTAATTGAAGTAAACTCATATGAAGTTAAAACAGTATTCGATGAATCCACTCTATCATGATTGAGTTTCTATTTTGTTGAAACGCTATTCAGTGATTATCAATACTACTTATATGATGAATTCTTTATTAATAATTGGTTTAGTAATGCGATACACAGAAATTCATACGACCGAAATTCATTTTTCCAACTTTATTTAAATCAATATCTCAGGCATATTAATGAAGTGATGTGGAAAAAACGTATTTGATCATTCTTGATTCTTCCAGTCAACTGAAACTGAACAAAGAGAATGAAGTATTACCATGATGAAATAATTAAGTACGGTTCTTTTAGAACTTGGTGCATCAATAGTTCTTTAGCTAATTCTTGAATATTCAGACTGTTCTTTGTAGTAAACCATAAGATGTGTATTCCCGACTATTTAGGACTCGTCAACTAGATATATTTACACCTTAGTACCGATGATCACACTGAAAGTAGAACCCGATACCTATTGTTTTAACCATCGTCGAGCTAGTTCACTGAGTTATTAAGTCCTCATATTCACTACCATGTTCAATGGTTATGAAGTCATCCGTAAGGCATCTAATAACATTTTGGCATTTATGAGAGAGAGCTACACGACCAAACCATCCAGCTCAGAGAACAAACCTACATCAAAATCACCCACCTGAGCTACAAATCTTCTCCACTAATAAATCACACCACTTGTTTTCAATAAAACGAGAATAAAACTTATTTCAAATAACTAATCTTGAAATAATGCTTCTTCTATAGTGAGAAATTACAAAACCCTTTTGAAATTGTAAAAACAAAATATAAAAACTTTAATCAAAGATGGATAATAATTATCAATAGAATCAAGGACACGAGGTTCGTCCTATTTACGACTCATCAACTGAATGTATTTACATCCCAGAGTTGATATTCACTCGAAGCAATACTCACAGTATACGTATATGCCAATAAGAGACTAATCATTTATAGTCGAAATCATGAGTCAATTGAAGCTAGACCACTATGGAAAACCTGGAAGCACTGCATGACCGCTTCGTCCTGTTATGGGATCCCGCCTTGGCAGTGCGCATCCACGATCCTGAGACTCGAACCAGGACCTACCAGTCTCGCTCCGGAGCACTTAACCGATAGACCACTGAGCTGGCCAGCATTCAACAGTGTTAATGTCTAACTTTAACCAATCCACGATGTTAGAGCAACCGTTCACTAATCGTCTTCGATGAGTTGATATCTCTACAACCGACTTGGTTGAACTTCACTGGTAGTCACTGCTTCCCACTAGAACTCAAAGAAATATCCCTTGAAGTCAGTCACTAGTAAGCATATGATTATAGATCAGCAAGGGTTTCTAGCTTTAATTAACTCATGATTTCAACTATGAAAATACTGAAACCTTCACGAAACTCCTTCTGATCTATAATCATTTACAATCCTAAACATTGATGAAAAGATTCAAGTAAACAATATCAAGTGAATTGATAATATAGATACATTTGATTCATTGAAGTAATTTTATATCTTCAAAGTTGAAATCATAAGTCGATTGAAGCTAGACCACCATGGAAAACCTGGAAGCACTGAACGGCCGTTTCGTCCTATTATGGGACTTCTTCTTGGCAGTACACATCAACGATCCCGTACTCGCGAGATTCGAACCGAGGACCTACCAATCTCGAACCAGAGCCCTTAACCGACAGACCACTGAGCCGTCCAGTGCTTTCAGGTTTTCCATGGTGGTCTAGCTTCAATCGACTGATGATTTCAACTTTGAAAAATATTGAAATCTCCACAAAACCCCATCTGATTATAATTTTAGATCTACCGAAATAGTATAACACTAAAGTAATTGTTCTAATTAGATGAATTCAAGAAAAAACTAATTGAATATACAAAAAAAATTTCTTTATTGTCTAGAAAAACTTTTCATTAAACGAAGAAAAAAATAAAAAATAATCAACATTCATGCCAATTCAACATTTTTCATTGGAAAAAACAACCAATTATACTCCAACACCATCAATTCAATTAACCAATGGAAATGAATGTAAAGTATTGATTGCTATTACTGTTCCAACACGTAATTGGAAAGTGAGTTACTGATACTATTGTCAATACTGTTATTATTATTATTATTATTATTAATATGGACTTAATATTAATATGGATTAATAATGGACTTCAAGAAGTACATCCAGGAGTTCTAGTGAGAAGCATTAACCAGTGGAGTTCAAACCACGTCTGTTGTAAGATAGGAACTCACTGAAGACAATTGGTGAACGGTTGCTCAACTTCGTGGATCAGTTGAAGTTAGACACTAACAGTGATGGATGCCGACCAGCTCAGTGGTCTATAGGTTAAGCGCTCGTGCGCGAGACTGATAGATCCTGGGTTCGAATCTCACGAGGCGGGATCGTGGATGCGCACTGCCATTGAGGAGTCACATAATAGAACGAAACGGCCATCCAGTGCTTCTAGGTTTTCCATAGTGGTCTAGCTTCAATTGACTCATGATTCCAACTATATAGAATATAGTATCAATTTAAATACTTACTTATATGTTTGTTTAAATGTATTGAAAATGCTTTTCGTCCAATCCGTTACACCTAGACAATCATGATTAGTGGTTGGAAATGCTAGATGACCTGAATCTTCTTATCGACTATAAGTTTAAATATTTCTTCTTAATATAGTCTTTTACTCCGTCTTTTCAGAAGATATTCTTATTATTGTCTTTATGAAAATCATTCCTACTGAATTGTTTTCACTCCTTCTAACTACTCATTGTGCTGAGTTATTATGAAAACTTGAGTAAAAGAATATTTAATAGTAACTGACTGACTGACTGTATCGCGTATAACTAACCCGATCTAAATGAAGAAGTTCCTTGATGTAGGTGCAAATTAGAATAGATCTAGATATACACCATTTCAACATGCATTAATGTTCTTGTTGAGATTTAAATTGTTCTATTCATTTATAATCTATGTGGTTCATCTTTCTATGGTTCATTAATTAACAATTCTAATAAGATTTTTTGATGTGAGTATAACTTATGGACGACCTTTGAGCGGCTTTGAAGTGACCTTGAAAATGTACACTTACTTATTAGGGCTAAATGTTGGTTATAAAGCAGTTTGAAGAATAAGAATTATGATTTACAGTTAATGGTTATAGTTAAGAGTTAGATTTAGGGTTTTCATTACAAACTGATATTAGCTAAAATGGCAAAACGTTATTTAGACAAATAAATGAATGAATTCCAGACCGAAATCCAAAACCTGTTGTGTTGAGTCTGATTGATTTGTACACAAATTATACATCCACCATCTGTGTGTTTATCACAACTAGATATCAATTCATCATAAGAGTTGATCATATTTCAGAATATGAAGAAAGCAAACGAATCAAATCTAAATCATTCCTGGCAATCAGTGAATATTTGTATATTTGACAATGATCGACCTTGACATGATATTCACTTATTGATAGACGTGTATTAAAAAAATTGTATACATATTAATGTGTATAGGCATCATTAATTGGGTCAATAGTTTCTAGTCTGTTGGAAATAAATTGATTTATATAATAAATCATTATATGCTCACTAGTGACTGACTCCATGAGGTATTTCCTGGAGTTCTAGTGAAAAACAGTAGCCAGTGGAGTTCAACCAGGTCTGTTGTGAGATATCAACTCACTGAAGATATTGATGAAATGGTTGCTCAACTTCGTGGATTATTTGAATTTGGACACTAACATCGTTGGATACCGGCCGGCTCAGTGGTCTAGAGGTTAAGCGTTGACGCGCGAGACTGGTATGTCCTGGGTTCAAATCTCGCGGAGCGGGATCGTGGATGCGCACTGCTGAGAAGTCCCACAATAGGACGAAACGGCCATCCAGTGCTTCCAGGTTTTCCATGGTGATCCAGCTTCAATTGACTCATGAGTCCAACTATAAAACTGTTATATCTAGAGCTTTGATTCTTGTTGTGTCACGTACTGCTAGACTTCTTGAACGATCGAACCCGCAACGTCGCATGAGAGAAGACAGAAGACTAATAAGTAGGAATGTATTTCCCAACACAGTGTCAAATATAGTACAAAAATCTCATATATTTATAGTTACTGACTGAAAGTAAATCATCATTTCGGACAGCCAATAGATACATAGGAGGTTCTTCTTATTTATCCGAAATGGAAGCTGCCCGTCGACATTCTAGACGATTCCTCTAGCGGTGGTCGGATGGAATGTCTTTGGCTCTTTCTGAGCTTCTTGATGCTTCCCTGAGTTTACCGACGAGCTATCCTTACAAAAAAGCAACAATAACATTTCTGACATATTTTTAAGGCAAAATTTTTTCTCCACACGTAATTCATCTAAAAAATTGTATTTTCTATTTTTAATATTTAAATATTATAAACGATTGATGTTGATTGTGTTTACAGTTTCTTTAGTATGACGTACTATACTAAGAAAAAGAATTAAAACAAAGAAAGGGGTTTTGTGGAGATGTTAATGATTTTATATTGTTGAGATCATGAATCAATTGTAGCTAGACCACCATGGAAAACCTAGAAGCACTGGACAGTCGTTTTGTTCTATTGTCGAACTCCTCTTTGTCAGTTCACATTCACGATCCCGCCTCGCGAGAATGGAGCCCAGGATCTATCGGTCTCGTGTGTGAGCGGTCAACCACTAGACCACTGAGCAGGTCGGTATCCAACTTTGTTAATGTCTAACTTCAACTAATCCACGAAATCGAGCGACACATCCACCAATATCTTCAGTGAGTCGATATCTCACAACAGACCTGGTTGAACTCCACTAGTCACTACTTCTCACTAGAACTCCAGGGAATACCTTATGGAGCCAGTCACTAGTGAGCATATAATGATTTATTATATAAATCCATTTATTTCTAACAGACTAGAAACTATTGACTCAATTAATGATGCCTATACACATTAATAGGTATACATTTTCATTATCAGAAGGGTTTTTTTTGAGGATTTTAGTAATTTTATATAGTTGAAATCATAAGTCAATCGAAGCTAGATCACCATGGTTAAGTGCTCGCACGCGAGACTGATAGGTCCTGGGTTCGAATCTCGCGAGGCGGGTCGTGGATGCGCACTGATGAAGAGTCCCTCAATACTCTATGTTAAACATAATTTCACTAAGACGAATGATATAGATATAATGATTTCATTCATTTTTTTTTATTTTATGAACAATTAACAAAGTAATCAGTAGTATATGCGGGTATCTGTTATACTTTTTACATTTTAAATACTAGAAACAACTATTCCTTCTGTGTATTTTTTCTTTTATTTATGTTATATCGTGTGCATGTGTACGTGTGCTCTGTTTGATATATGAAGTGATGATCCTCGCCAATGACAGAGGAGTGAATTATCGATAAGAGCAATGATACACGAAACCTGTACAAACAGTCTAGAGCACTACTCGGTCCTGCTTTCCGCCTAGCACAGTCATTTAAGTTCAGAACACCAATAACATTCTCTGCATAATAAATCATTATTCACAAACATACTGGGTTTATATACCAAACAAACTGACCACAATGTACCACAAAATAGAAAATAACATTTGTACAAGATTTAGCCAAATGTGGCTGTGAATAGGGGGAACAGTAATTAATAGACTAGGTATAACTCAAGAATGGTAAATCGTGTAATAATAGTCTATAGGTCAAAATAAAACTCATAATAAGGTAAACACTAATATTAATAGTTTACTTACTTAACAATTATACAATAGGCAATATAGTGTTATCCTAATCAAAGAAGATTTCAATGAATCATACAAGTAAACTGATGTTGAGCAAGAGTAAAAATGACATTTATGATTACAATAATGATGATCTATTTGTGGTTACCAGGATAACAACATGTGGTGAACTTGCTTGTTAAAGTTCATTTTTTAGGTTAAACATTATTTAATTGTCAACAACAATAAAGTATCCAATGATTATTGAAATGAAGTTGTGTTAGTCAATTGTACAGTTATTTAATGTTTTAATTGGTGTGTACTAAGTTAAAGTTACGATATGAACAGGAAGTCTAGTACACGATTATTTGATTGTATCATTAATAGGGAATTTCCAACTTGGGTATATAGTTTTGTTTAGAACTTGTGGGTTGCATACATCAATCGAATTACACTTGACGGAGAAGTTTTGGAGAGTGTGAAAACCTAAACATATCTGGACAGTATCATCGATGAACATGGTGGATCTGATGCAGATAGATGTGAAGACGCGGATCAGCAAAGCAAGAGTAGCATATTTACAATCGAAGAACATCTAGAACTCTAAACAATTGTCAACCAATACCAAAATCAGAATTTTCAATATAAATTTCAAAACAGTTCTACTCTATGGGGCAGAAACTTGGAGAACTACAACAACTTTCATCCAGAAGATACAGGTGTTTATTAACAGTTGTTTACGCAAGATACTTCGGATCCGTTGGCCAGACACTATATTGATCACCTACAACCACCATCTTACCTCTAGTTTGTAGCTAGTTATGGAACATATGCTTCGTCTTACATGCAACTCGTTGATTCAATATACCCTTATCGTAGTGTTGTTCTTGACACTGAAAGTCGAACTAAAAATGTTTAGATTCAAAAAGACAACCTATTCTTCCATGAGTTACTGAACCTTTACTTACTTACGCCTGTTATTCCCAATGAAACATAGGCCGCCAACCATCATTCTCCAACCCACTCTCTTCTGGGCCTTCTTTTCTAGTTCTATCCAGCTGTTGTTCATTATTCTCATGTCTGTCTCCATTTCTTGGCTTAATTTGTTCTTGAGTCATCCTCTTTTAGTTTGGCTTTCAGGATTCCATGTGAGGGCTTTACTCGTGACGCAATTAGGTGATTTCCTCAAAGTGTGCCCTATCCACTTCCAGCGACTCTACTTGATTTCTTCCTCTGCTGAGATCAGGTTTGTTCTCTCCCACAGTAGAATGTTGCTGATAGTGTCTCGGTCCAGCGGATCTGAAGTATCTTGCGGGTTAAACATTATTTAATTCAATAGATATAAAGTCATTAGTAA